GGCCCCGCTAACTGCCTAATGCTTCAGTTATTTCCTAAATAACTAACCAAATTTTTCCCACAAAAGGAGGGGGGACCAGGCCCCTTTTCCCCCTAATCCGCATCTGAATACATTCCTAATCAGTGATCCTTGACTAATGTGTAAGGCCGAATAACCTCCGTGGAAATAAGAAATGACAATGCTAAAACAACTTTATGCCAAAAAAAAACATGAATTATCAGGAATGGTTCCCTTTAACGTGACATAAACACAATTCAAAGTATGCAAAAGTTTCAAAGTCAAAGAACAATGTCGAGGGGGCAATGTCATATAATCTTCATGGTAATGACACTTGCAAATGCTTATAAAGCTCCTTTTTAAATATCATTGACTTACCATATAAAGTCGTTTATCTCAAACTGACCTAATCACAAACTTTGACAATTTTAATCATGCAAACGTTTAAAAGTCACTAGATCATGACTGATGGGTGGGGCAACCAAAACTCCTGCAAATTTGATGAGCCAACTTATATAGCTGTACAAAAGAGATCATTGAACTAATAATCAGTGGTTCCATTTAAACTGATCTAACCACAAACTTTAATAATGAAAACTTGAAAATGAAAAGTTTCATAATCAATAGCGTGTGGGGCAAAATAATCTGCATGGAAATAAGACAAACGAATGCTTATACAACTGCATACCTAATATCATTGAGCAACCACTAGTGGTTTCCCTTAGCATGACCTCATCACAAATATATATATAATTGCCGCACACAGCACGTATAAGTCTTGATTTTTCTTTTCGTTTTGTGTTCATATCGGACCACTTAATCTCAGCTTACGTCCTCCTCTGAATATGTCAATATTATTTATTTGCTACCTTAAGGTATACAAATATATATCAAGTAATGATTCACTTCCGTTTCGTGTACGTGTCTTAGCTACTGCTTATCTTTCTGATGAGGGTTTAACTAGTTTCCTTACCAAAATTAAATAACTTTCTATTGACTCTAGATCTTGTTATAAAGCATATAAAGATAACGGAATTGATTATATTTTTGGTATAAAACAATATTTGAAAGTTGCAGTTAAATTGCGTGCTTATGATTGGCTTTTCCATTGCGGTAGGTATTTTTAACTTTTCAACCCTTTATACTACACTGCAACTCATGCAATCTTATCAAACGGAAGTTTTCTCATTTAAATGATCCTTTCTCATTACAGATTTACATGTATTTGCTGAAGCTTATTTAAAGCCCTTCTTATCTATTGAAATCAAAGATAAATGTGATAGATATACTTACTGAAAATGTGATAAAAGCTGCAATTTTTCACCTTAACAACTACGTTCATTTCGGTGATACAGTTTATCGACAGGTTATGGGTTTTCCTAAAGGCACCAATCCCTCTATTAGCAGATGTGTTCCTGTACTGTTTTAAATCACAGCTTATCATCAAAGAAGTAAATATCTAAATTCCATTCAATTGATTGATTTAATAATTCTTAGAGTTACCTTCAGTTGATAATATTTTTTGCTAAAAGTTATCAAAATTTCTCTAGTTTTGCTGAGAATAACTTACCGACGTTACTTATTTTTAATAGACCTACATATCTAAACAGCAATAATTTTCCTTTTCTAGATTTGGATATTTCAGTTTAACTCAGGGAAAATAAACTAGAAGCTCCCAAGAGCCTGTGTCGCTCATCTGTATCTACTGTTGTTTTTGAAATAATGTAAAATTAGATATCCTAATAATGATTGAGGCAAATATTGGTACAATTTAGCCCAGTAGTTAAATTAAAGCAGGTCATCCCATTTAGTCTTACAATAGTTACTGAAGACCCCTTAATACTTTTCAAATGAGTTTTCAAGTTGTGACCATTTTAAAATTACAATTTTCCCTTAGACTTCTATAGTAAGCCATTTTGTTCTATTTTTAGCAATGGCGGCCATTTTGGTTGGATGACAGGATCATCGGATACATTTTTTAAATCAAGATACCCTATTGAAAATTGTGGCTAAGTTTTATTCTGTTTGGCCTAGTAGATTAAGTGGAGAAGAGTTTTGTAAAAGATTACAAAAATTTACAAAAAATTATTATAAAGGGCAATAACTCCTTAAGGGGTCTATTTACAATTTTGGTTCATTTGACTTATTTGTAGATAGTACTGTGCTGAAAATTATTGCTGTTTACAGTTTATCTCTATCTATAATAATATTTAAGATAATAACAAAAAACTGCAAAATTTCCACAAATTTACCAATTCAGGTGCAGCAACCCAAGAACATGTTTACCCATGTCAGATTTGCTCTAACTGTTTTAGTCTCAGTTAAAGAGATATAAACCAAAAACTGCATTTTACCCCGATGTTCTAGTTTTAGTCATGTCGGCCATGTTGGTTGGCTTGCGGGGTCATTGGACACATATTTTAAACTAGATAACTTAATGATGATTATGGACAAAATTGGTTAAATTGTCTCAATTGATTCAGAGGAGAACATTTTTGTAAAAGATTACAAAAATTAAAGAAAAATTGTTAAAAATTTACTATAAAGGGCAATATAGCTCATTAAGAGGTCAATTGACAATTTTGGTAATATGACGTATTCGTAGATCTTACTATGCTTAACCTTATTACTGTTTACAGTGTTTTTCTATCTATGATAATTTTCAAGATAATAACCAAAAACTGCAAAATTCACTTCAAATTAACAATTTTAGGACAGCAACCCAACAACCGGTTTGTTTGATTCGTCTAAATATTTCAGGGCCGATAGATCTCAACCTGATAAACAAAGATACAAACTGCATTTTACTCTTCATGACGGCCATTTTGGTTGGCAAACGGGGTCATCCGACACCTTTTTATAACTAGAAATCCTGCTGATGATTGTGGCAAAGTTTTGTTCAATTTTGCTTAGTGGTTTCAGAGGAGAATTTTTTGTAAACGGTAACAAAAATTTTTGAAAAATGGTTACAAATCTACTATAAAGGGCAATAAATAACTCTTTAAGGAGTCAATTGACAATTTGGGTCTTATTGAATTATTTGCAGATCTTACTTTGCTGAACATTATTGATGTTTACAGTTTATTTCTATCTAAAAAAATATTCAAGATAATAACAAAAACTGCAATTTCCTTCGAATTACCATTTCAGGGGCAGCAACGGGTTGTCTGATTCGTCTGAAAAATTTCAGGGCGGATAGATCTCAATCTGATAAACATTCAAACCTCATTTTAGATAGTCTCTAAATGCTTTAGTTTCAGAGATATAAGCCACAATCTGCATTTTACCCCGTTGTTCTATTATTAGTCATGTCGGTTGGCAGGCGAGGTCATCGGACACATTTTATAAACTAAATATCCTAATGATGATTGTGGCCAAGTTTGGTTAAATTTGGCTCAGTAGTTTCAGAGGAGAAGGTTTTGTAAAAGTTAGCGGACGACGGACGCCAAGTGATGAGAAAAGCTCACTTTGCCTAAGGGTCCAGCTGAGCAGAAAATAATTACGACTAAAGAGACGACTTTTTGTTCCTTATTACATTTTTTTTCCATTTCGTACGGTGATGTGCCTTTGGTCCTTTCTCAATGGATATAAACTAAGCATAATTTATTGATCATTAACTTAGGGATTTCATTAAAATAGATCACTCAAAACTTTGTATTCGTTCACTTTTGGTTTTGAAGTTTGGTTATATCTGTAGAATTTGTAATAAACAAGGGATATATTTATGCAGTAATGTTGTTTATAAAAATAAAAAAAATCGCTATTAGCAGCCAGTATGATTCAATTTTTTTCAAAATAAGCAAAGAAACATCGATGATGAATTATTCACTTGCAAGTGAATAGTGCGACCCCATTGAATCCGTATTCATGCGAACTTCAATGAACTCCTTAGCTAGAGATGAATTATGCATAATTGATGCGTGTTAGACTGTTAAAAGAAAAGAAAGTCAACATTGAAAGTGAAACAAAGGTAAATCACTTGATTGACTGATTCGATACACAAAAAATCATTCTTATACAGGTAAAATCGAAAATTAACTTATTCTTTTAAACTTAAAATTGAAATCAATCAGACATAGAAAAATCTTTTTGCACGAGGTTCATATATCTATTTATATTTATGTTTATATCGTGTTATGTGACCGTCGGTTGTTTTCGGGGTCATCTCGATAGTTAATTAGATGGTGTCTAGACTAAAATACACACGAAACGAAGCTACATTTTATCGAGCCCATGTCCTGTATTTTTTTTTATTTTAGACTTCTTATAATTTGGATAAATGTTTTACATTGTTATGAATCTATTATGAGAACTTGAGTCAAATCGGTGAACATGACAGCTAGTGCCTCTTTAATCGTTTGTGGTCCTTTGTTGAAGTTATGGTCCTATACCATGTAGATATCAAATACTTATATTTTGGCACTATGTCAGACATGTTTTTTTTTCTCAGACAATAGTGATTGATTTATAGATTATTGGTCTTTAACGCCATTTTCAGTCCTATTTAATCATTCGCTCCTGCCACACATGAAGTTAGAACCCGCAACCTAGGAGTTGACAGTTTATAACATCTTTGGAATTGTACTGAGGGATACTTTAGTCTGGGAGAACATGTCATATTTACTTTTGATTGTTTTGCCAATAAGGGACCATTCAGCGAATTTGATGGAGAAATTGGTTCAGTAGTTAAAGAGAATATTTTTTAATAAGGTTTTGACAACATATCTTAATTTATGACATTATCAGATGACCCTATATGCCAGTCGTATGGAATTGATCTGATATCTGATCGTCTTTTAAGACGTTTTGGGACCATGTCAAATCTCGAACTATAGGGAAGGTGCGGTAATCATAAAAAAAGTTGCGGTCTCTAATGAGACAGGCATATAAATCCAATAAACTAAGTTTTATAACAATTTGTACTGTTTCTAGATGATAAATGAATGATTTATTTTTTTTATAACATTGTTCACAAAAATAATAATCAAGTTATAAAGTATATACATTTAAGTTGAAAACAAAAGCAACACGATCAAGGTAACAGTACAATTATTTTTGCATCAGTTTTCAGCATTGTGAAATAAAAGTCACAATTAAAGTTATTTATTGATATGGTTTTCTCTTTTATCAATATCCAATGGTGTATATCCTAAATTTAATGAGAGCACTCTTAGGCAGAATAGTTTTATTGATTTATCATTTATGCCTATGTTCTACTGTATATAATTGTATATTGGTTCTGTGTCTGCATTAAATGTACATTATTGGTATGATATTCTAATTTAGCAATATCTAATAGTGTCAATCCGCTATAATTAATGTAACAATCTGCTTCGTTTTTTATTAACAATTCAACAAGCTGTGTATTACCATTTACACAAGCTATAAACAAGGGGGATTCTCCAGTATTCATTCGCTTATTTATATCAGCCTTATTGTTGAGTAACATCTGAACTACTTCAGTATGTTCTTCTTGACAAGCAATGTACAGAGGCGATACTCCATTTTTATTACACTTATTTATGTATGTTTCATTGTTTAATAAAATCCGAACTACTTCAGTATGCCCTTCTTGACAAGCACAAAACAGAGGCGATACCTCTTCGTCATCAAACGTATTAACGCCTGCTTTATTGTTTATCAACATTTGAACTACTTCACTATTTCCTTTCCCACACGCAATGTGCAGTGGTGTAACTCTTTTATTATCACCCCTATTAATGTTTGCATTTTTTGTAATTAACATCTGAACAACTTCAGTATTTCTTTCCCCACAAGCAATGTGTAGAGGTGAAACGTCTTTAGTATTACACTTATTAATGTCTGCATTATTGTTTAATAATATCTGAACTACTTCAGTATTTCCATTCTGACAAGCAATAAACAGAGGTGATAATCCAGTATCTGTACACTTATTTATGTTTGCTTTATATTTAATTAACATCTGAACAACTTCACTATGCCCTTTCCAACAAGCGATGTGAAGAGGTGATACGTCTTTAGCACTACACTTGTTTATATTTGCTTTATTGTTTAATAACAGCCGTACTACTTCAGTGTGTTCTGTCCCACAAGAAAAAAATAGAGGTGTTTCTCCAGTATCAACACATTTATTTAAGTCTACCTTATTGTCTATTAACATCTGAACTACTTCAGTATTGCCGTTCTGACAAGCAATGCACAAAGGTGATCTTTGTTCATAGTTACACTTATTAATGTCTGCCTTATTGTTTATTAACATCATCACTATTTCAGTATTTCCATTCTGACAAGCAATAAACAGAGGCGTTTCTCCAGTATCTACACATTTATTTATGTCTGCCTTATTTGTTATCAACATTTGAACAACTTCAGTATTTCCTTCCCCAGAAGCAATGTGCAGAGGTGATATTTGTTTAGCATTACATGTATTTATGTCTGCCTTATTGCTTATCAACATCTGTACTATTTCGGTATTTCCTGTTTGACAAGCAATGATTAGAGGCGATACGTCTTCGTTATCATACTTATTAATGTCAGCCTTAAAGTTTATAAGCATCTGCACTACTTCAGTATTCCTTTTCCAACAAGCAACATGTAGAGGTGAAGCTTCTTTAGCATTGCATTTATTAACGTCTGCCTTCTTGTTTATTAACATATGAACAACTTCACTATTTCCATTTTCACAAGCGATAAACAGAGGCGATGATCCAAAATCTGTACACTTATTAATGGCTGCCTTATTTTGTATTAATATCTGAACTACTTCAGTGTGTCCTTTCCAACATGCAACGTGCAAAGGGGATTCTTCTTTCGCATTACTCTTATGAATGTCTGTCTCAAAGTTTAATAACATCTTAACTATTTCAGTGTGTCCTTCCTGACAAGCAAGAAACAGTGGTGATACTTCTTCGTCATCACACTTATTGATATCAGCCTTGTTGTTAATCAACATCTGCACTACTTTTGTACTCCCTTTCCCACATGCAATGAGCAGAGGTGAAACTTCTTTAGCATTACCTTTATTAATATCTGCCTTGTTGTTTAATAATATCTGAATTATTTCAACCCGTTCTGTCCAACAAGCAATATACAGAGGTGTTGATCCAGTATCTTCAAACCTATTTACGTTTGCCTTATTGTTTATCAACATTTGAACTACTTCAGCATTTCCATTTTGACAAGCAATAAACAGAGGTGATGATCCATTATTTGTACACTTATTAATATCTGCCTTATTTTGAATCAACATCTGAACTACTTCAGTATTTCCTTTCCAACAAGCAGTATAAAGAGGGGACATTTCTTTAGCATTACACCTATTAATGTCTGCCTTATACTTTAGTAAAATCTGGACAATTTTAGAGTGTTCTGTCCAACAAGCAATAAATAGAGGTGTTGATCCAGTATCATCACATTTACTTATATCTGCCTTATTATTTATTAACATCTGAACTACTTCCGTATTTCCTTTTTGACAAGCAACGAATAGAGGTGATATTTCTTCAGCATTACACCTATTTATGTCTGCTGTTTTGTTGATTAATATACGAACTACTTCGGTATGCCCTTCATTACAAGCAATGCACAGAGGTGATATTTCTTTTGAATCATACTGATCAACGTCTGCATTATTGTTTATCAAAAACTGAACAACTTCAGTGTGTCCTTCCTGACAAGCAATGTAGAGAGGAGAGGATCCGGTATCCTTACACTTATTAATTTCTGCCTTATTGTTTATCAAAAACTGAACAACTTCAATATTCCCATTCTGACAAGCAATGTAAAGAGGTGATTCTTCTTTATCATTACACTTATTAAGGTCTGCCATATTGTTTATTAATATCTGAACTACTTCAGTATGTCCTTTTTGACAAGCAATGAATAAAGGTGATGCTCCAGTATTTCTACACTTATTAATGTCTATTTTATTATTTGTTAAGATCCTAACTACGTCAGTATGTCCCTCTTGACAAGCGATGTACAGAGGTGATACCTCTTCGTCATCACACTTATTCATGTCTGCATTATAATTTATTAACATCTGAACTACTTCAGTATGTCCTTCGTGACAAGCAATGAACAGCGGTGATGATCCAATATCTTTACACTTATTAATGTCTGCATTATAGTTTACTAACATCTGTACTACTTCAGTACGTCCTTCCTGGCAAGCAATAAACAAAGGCGATGATCCAGTATCTCTACACTTATTAATGTCTGCGTTGTTGTTTATTAATATCTGCACTACTTCAGTATGTCCTTCCCGACAAGCAATTAACAAAGGTGATGAACCAGTTTCATCAAACATATGAATGTCTGCCTTATTGTTTATTAAAATCAAAACTATTTTTGTATTTCCTTCATGACAAGCAATGTGCAGAGGTGTTGCTCCAGAATCTCTACACTTATTAATATCTGCTTTGTTGTTTATTAAAGTATAGACAACTTCAGTATGTCCTTTCTGACATGCCACAAACAGAGGCGATACTTCTTCATCATTACACTTATTAATGTCTGCCCTATTGTTAATTAACATCTGAACTACTTCCGTGTGTCCTGCTTGACAAGCAACGAACAGTTGGGATACTTCTTTATCAGTACGCCTATTAATGTCTGTTTGATTGTTTAGTAACGTCTGAACTTCTTTAGTATGTCCTTTCTGCCAATCAACAAACAGAGGTGATGATCCAATACCTGCACACTTATTAATGTCCGCCTTATGACTAATCAATATCTGAACTATTTCAGTGTGTCCTTCCTGACAAGCTATGAACAGAGGTGATACTTCTTCATCATTACACCTATTGACGTCAGCCTTGTTGTTTATTAACATCTGAACCACGTCAGTATGCCCTTTGCCACAAGCAAGGAACAGAGGTGATGCTCCGAAATATGTACACTTATTAATATCTGCCTGATTGTTTATTAAAATCTGAACAACTTCAGTATGCCCTTCCTGACAAGCAATGAATAAAGGTGATGATCCAGTATCTTTACATTTGAAAATGTCTGCCTTATTGTTTATTAGCATCTCAACTACTTCAGTATAGCCTCCCTGACAAGCAACGAAGAGAGGGGACGCTCCAGTATCTAAACACTTATTAATGTCTGCCTTATTATCTATTAGAATCTTAACAACTCCGATATGTCCTTCCTGACAAGCAACAAACAGAGGTGATATATCTTCATTACCACACAGATTAATGTCGGCTTTATTGTTTATTAACATCTTAACCTCTTCAGTATGTCCTTTGCAACAAGCAATTAGCAGAGGTGATCCCTCTTCAGCATTACGCTTAGTAATGTCTGCCTTATTGCTTAATAATGTCTGAACTATTTCGGTATATCCTTGCCCACAAGCTATGTACAGGGGTGATGATCCTGTATCGGCACACTTATTAATGTCTGCCTGATTGTTGATTAACATCTTAACTATTTTAGTATGTCCTCCCACACATGCAATGTAAAGAGGTGATATTTCCTTCGCATTACACTTATTAATGTCTGCCTTATTCTTTATAAGCATCTGCACTATTTCAGTATGTCCTTGCCCACAGGCAATGTACATAGGTGTTGATCCCGTATCTGCACACTTATCAATGTCCGCATTATTTTTTAATAATAACTGAACTACGTCAGTATGTCCTTCTTGACAAGCAATGTACAGTGGTGATATTTCCGTAGCATTACACTTATTAATGTTTGCCTTATTGTTTATCAACTTCTTAACTACTTCAATATGTCCTTCCTTACAAGTAACAAATAGAGGTGAGACCTCTGCATAATCACACTTATTAATGTCCGCCTTATTGTTAATTAACATATGAACTACTTCAGTAATTCCTTTCCAACAAGCAATGTGCAGAGCTGATACTTCTTTGTCATTACACTTATTAATATCTGCCTTATTTTTGATAAGCATCTTAACCACTTCAGTATGCCCTCCCTGACAAGAAACGAGCAGTGGTGTAGATCCATTATATACACACTTATTGATGTCTGCTTTATTATTTAGTAACAACTGAACTACTTTAGAATGACCTTGCTGACAAGCAAAGAACAGAGATGATACTCTATCACCAATACGACAATGGTTTACATTACTGATACAAAGATGTAAACACCATGTAACTAGATCAATATCACCTCTATGAGAACACTGTATCAATGGAGTGCTATTGTTACCTGTGTCATATGAACAAGCCAGTTGTGTCTGTTGTGGTATTTCTAAACTTTTGATATGTTCTAAAAATCTTTGTCTGAAGATTATACTGTTCATATTAATGTTACAGTAGACATGTATTACATTCCCTCTTGCCCAGTCATCTACAATTCTCTCAATATACATTTGCTGATACTTTTGTGGTACAATAATGATAAATTCATCACTATTGCTTTCTTTTCTAAACAGAAACCTTTCACAAATAAAACGACTTGAAGCGTTATTTATTAAGCATTCGATCATAACATTTCCAAAGTAAAAAGCAATAAAGTCGAACAGCTTGTCATGAATAGTTCTAAATACTTCACCATCCTTTCTGATAAATGAATGAGTTAGGGAATCCAGCTCATCCCGAATTACCAATCGTGAAGTTCCTCTCACCACTTTACACGCTTCATATGTGTTCTTTATAATAGTTTTGATACCTTTGTCCTTATCGTCTGTAAATAAATTCTCTTTTAAATGATTGTCAAACATGACACATAGAGCAAGGGCACAGTACTTGACATGTGCGCCTTCTTTTTGTAATTTATCTATCTCTTCTTTGTATACTGTATACGGATTCTTAAAGAAATCTACAATGCTCAGTTTTGTGTTTTTGCTGCATAGTTGACACAAAAGAGGAAAACAATCAAACATGTCATGGAATTCACTGATCTTAGAAGCATTTGTTTTCAGGTAAAGTTCAGCAATAGATTGCTTTTCTGTTTTTGATAAACATATATCTTCAGATAAAAGGTTACATTCACAGGATCGAAAGAATGACAAAGATTTCATTTTTTCATCGTTATAAACCTGTAGTCTACAAGCCATAACTAACTTAACTGGTTTTATTTCTATTATTGCTTTGATTTGTTCCATCAGATTTTTCCAGTTTTCGAACTGCATTGGATTTACAGCATACGTTCCACAAAAATCATCAACGACAAAAAGGAGATTCTTACTTGGATTGTGCCACGTAACAATGCATTCAGGGTTTGACACTGGTAATATATCATAGCCTTCATGTTGCATCTTTAAAGCAACATGACGCACCAATGAGGATTTACCTGTACCTGAACTTCCAGTGACAACAACGCATCCATTTTCATGAATACACTTAAATACACTCTTTGCTCCAATTATTTCTATATACATTTTGTCAGCTTCCTTCCAAGCTTCTAACTTCTCCGTAATCAGTACTAAAAGGAAAACAAAAACATATTCTTAGAATATATAGGGTTACAAATTTTCAATAATAGAGAGGTGCTTATGCAAAATATCATGTTCTAAACTTCACAAATTATTTAAAGTTGAAAATGAATTGGACAAAACAATCAAAGACATGCCATACAAACCAACTTTTCAATCACCAAAAAACTTCGATAAACGACCACAAGTTACTGTGCTCGATCTTACAAATGTTTCCTAATTTTTGGTCGTAAGTATAGCTGTTAAATTTTATTCAAGAGAAAAAAGTATTCGATGACAGCCATGTCTACCACAATTTTTTTAGAGATCGAATAAACGTCACCAGCGTTGTCATGGCTAAAAAGATAAAAAGCCTTCAACATACTCAATATATAACATTTGGGAGTCATAAACACCAACAGTCATAGATAGATAACATCATCTGGATCAGCTACACGGTGGGTAAGGTTGTCCAGCGAGAGGACGTTCTGTGCTGGTGATTCGGTCCTGGAAGGTGCTGGTGAGTTTGTTTACTAGTACATTGTATAAAAATAGCAATAAAAATTAAAGGTCAATTGTACACGAACAATTGAAAGGTCTTTCCTTCCATATTTTTTTCTTAAAATATACTGTCATACACTTGTCGAACCAACATACTGGTGTTGTCTCTTGATAGGAGAAATTTAGTGGTATATCTATGACTAACGCTAAAATCACTCCCCTACACCATGGGTCCCTAATTTGTTCACATTTCACCGGGAACTTTTTGAAGATTGTATTTCTACAAGTAGTAAGAATAAAAATCTGTGAGGTTCATGATTGGATGGTTTATGCTTTTAATTGATTAATTTTAAGAAAGATCAACCATTTATGTGCCAAAATAATTATAATTTAGAGTGATACATTTGAAAGTTTCTGTGACATTTTATTTCCTATTGGAATAGGCTGACTGACAATTATGAAGTGTCATTTAGTGCGGAATTTGAGAGCGTCCTTAACCACTGCTTGTCGAGGATATTTCCAGTGCATAAGAATGCTGATGTTTTTCATTGCAATAATCTATTATGTACTTTCAGCAGATGATGAGTTTAATTTTAGAATCTATTCAGAATTTTATACCTTTTCTTTAAAATGGTAGGTTCCAAACAGACAATGTACCCTATTGATAATGCATTGTGAATAATTGAGCAATTATATCCTATATGACCAATCATGACCTTGACCTTTGAACTTGGCATCAATTTTATAGTCATGTATCAAAAGCTAATCAAGGACCTCAAATCAAAAGGTCCTAGGCCTTAAGTAACGGCTTATTAGATTAAGCAACATACCACCTACGTCAAGTATTTACTAGATTACTCCTATTAATAGTCAACGGATAACTTCGACTTAAATGTATCAAAGTTGCGCCATGTTCCAAGGAACAGTTAAAAAACCATTATGTCGATATTTGTAATGATTTTTGAGAAAAAGAGATAATACATATTTCAGTGTTAGTGGAGACAACTGCTATAAAGGAAAGTTGCTGTATAGTGCCCTAACTGCAAGATGGATTTCGGTCAACTGATACTTGATACCTAATATAATTTCAACATGTCACAATTTTTTTTTTTTGGGGGGGGGGGGGGGGAATGTTGTTAAAGTTGGTAAATAAAATAATAATAAATATCTATACTATTGATAATCTTCTGAGTTCAAAAATATATGGTTGCTAAGGACGTTCATGTTCTTAACAAGTGGTTGCTAAGGACAAAAATCATTGCTAAGGACAAAAGTATTACTTCCAGTATTAAAATGTCATATCTACTATTCATAGCCTTTTAGTTAGAAAAAATAAGTGGTTGCTAAAATTCATATGTCGTTGCTAGGGACAAAATGTAATTTCCAGAATTAAAAATTTCATTTTTATATTCTTCAAAGCGGTCTAAGTTCAAAAATATGTGGTTGCTAAGGTTTTTTATGTCGTTGCTAGGGACACTGACCTCTGACCTTGACCTAATTTTGTAGATCATGTTATGCTGGACATTTTTGCTATTCAAAGTTGCTCTCTATCTTTAACTTCTTTTGAGTTATAAGCAAAAAATCTTCATATCGGACCCCGAAAAACAGTTTTGGTGCCCTAGTTCCATAATAGTTAGTCCAATAATTTTAAACTTACATAACAAATGTAGATTTCGACAAGACACACATTTTTTCTTTTACATTTTATCAGCCATCTTTTACGGTTATTGAGTAAATCTAATAAGAATCTAGGGTCGAAATCTAGGTCATGACCTTGACCTTTGACCTTTAGGCATTTTCATAGTCACATGAATTAATGATCATTGGTGAAGATCCTAGGTGGCTACGACTTACGGTTTCTGAGTTTTAGTGGCCAACCAACATCGGTTAATTCTCAAAGGGGCATAACCCTACCAATGAATCGTTAAATTTTTTCGATTGAAATGTAACGAAGAACCAGGGTCTGGTCCAGAACAAATTCCGCCTTTCGGTTTTTTTTTTCTATCTATTATGGTTACGGTTTTTAAATGATAACAAGGTTTTCGGTGTTAGGGGAGATAACCGCTATAAAGGAAATGTTACGAAGTGGTGCCCTATACACATGATAGCTTTTGGTCAACTGATACTTGATATAAAATATCATTTTAACATGTCACGTACTTTTTTTGAGAAATGTCGTTAAAGTTTGGCGGAAAAAATAATAATAATAAATATAAAAAAGCAATTGTAAACGGTATTTCCCTCTATGAAACATGATTGATTGCTATGTGTGTTTGTGTGTTTGTGTGTTTGTTTGTATGTTTGTTCGGTAGGTTGGTTGGTTAGTTGTTTCTTTCTTTCTTTAAAGGATCTATATTATTGTGTTGGTTAAGTTTCTATATTTAGTTTGGAAATTTTTTATTCTATTTCAGGTCCCGCCCGCGTCTCTCGCGCCAGATTGATCGTGACGAGGATTTATAATAGCGAAAACTTTATTCCTTTTTAGGTGGAGACGTTGGACAGACAACATGTATATCGACGGAATACACACAATGTATTTCTTTTGTTATTGTAGGTGATTGATGTTTTGATCACAGTTCACAAGCAGTGCATGCTTTGGATTAAATTGATACTGTGTACATTTAAAACAAGTTTATCGATTATTTTCATATAATGTACATTTTTCAGCACCAGTTTGTACACAGATTTGTATTTTAATCTAGGAGCAGACATTTTATTGTAGGATTTCACTGAAATTTACGATTTTTACGGCATTGCAATTTCTTTACTCTACGAAAAATCTTGGGAGGTAGCTGCAGAACGTTGTTATATAAAGATGTGATACATATATACCCTGCTGACTGCAAATTTTGAGGTCGATTGGACATGTAGTTTCAGAGAAAATCACATAACATGCATTGGGAATTTTTTTTCTAGAAGAATAGTTATAACAATATTAACAATTGAAGGTCTTCCCACCCGCAAGGATATCTTTTGATAGGAAAATATTAAAATCCAGTGATATGGCTTGCAACCAAATGCAAAAAGTCCCATGGCTATATCATGTATTAATATGAAGTTAAAGCAAAGGTCAAAATCTAGAACATTAAATTTAACTATGACCTAGACTTTAGAAATAACAAGAAAAACTGGGTTCGGGGAGATAACTCTTACATGGAAAAGTAATCGGTTACACAGTGTCAGTTTTAAAAGCGTATAAACTGTTCGATATCATATACCAAATATCTAAGCGACATCTTGCGAAACAACAAAACATCAAAGGAAACAAAATAGGAGGAAGAAAAAAAAATAAGAAAATCTTTTCACCCGATACGATATATTTTGATGTTAAAAATAATAAAACTTGATAAAAAATGTAATTTTCAGTGCCAAATGATAGTTTATTGTACGTTAAATTTAAAAATATATGGTATCTACACATTTTTGTTTGAAATAAGGGAGATAAGTTGTTACTTCCGTTTTGGTCTCATTTGATAGTTTACTTGACACTGATTCCAAAAATATGTGGTTCTATGTACTTTTACATTAAATAATTACAAAAAAAGCTACTTCCGGTTTACAAAAGGTCATTCCCAGTGGATTTTTTCAAGGTCATATGGCTTGCAACTTAATGCACAAAGTCCCATAGCTTTATCATGCACAAATTAAAAGTTAAAGCAAAGGTTAAAATCTAGAACGTCAAATCAAACTTTGACCTTGACGCAATTTTAATGTCATGAAGAAAGGGCCTCTTATCAAAAGACTCTAGGTCTCTACTATATATTGTTAATTAGTTATATAACCATACAGCTAACATTAGATATAAAAGGGGCAAAAACTCCCAATAAATGTGTACGTACCCTGACAACTAAATTTATGTGTTACGACTTGTCACACTAACAATTCTGAAAAATGTTTTGTCGATATCTTATAAGATTTCTGAAAATAAGTGATAACAAGCCAAAATCAAAATTTAGAACATGACCCTGACCTTTGACCTTGACCTTGTTTTCTTTTTTTTGGACCAAGGACCTCAAATTAAAAGACCCTGTGGTTTACCAGTTAGAAATGCATATCACTTATATCAAATGCATAAAGGGGGAATAACTCTCATATGGAGTCTCCAGATAGCTTCCGTCATAATTGATCAAAACATCCTGAGGATATAACGAGCAATTTGGTAAAATGAATTTGTCGTAATGTTAATGTTATCAAACTGTTCGATATCATATACCAAATATCTAAGCGACATCTTGCGAAACAACAAAACATCAAAGGAAAAAAGGACCAAGGACCTCAAATTAAAAGACCCTATGGTTTACCAGTTAGAAATGCATATCACTTATATCAAATGCATAAGGGGGAATCACTCTCATATGGAGTCTCCAGATAGCTTCCGTCATAATTAATCAAAACATCCTGAGGATATAACGAGCAATTTGGTAAAATGAATTTGTCGTAATGTTATATGGCTGCTAAGTTTTAGAAATAACAAGAAAAACAGTGTCCGGGGAGATTACTCTTACATGGA